TTTCGGGCTTCCCAACAATTAGGGGTTCGCTTTGTGGGGTTCCGGTGATAAGGATTAACGTATTTTGGGGTCTTTATCGGGGTCCCCCTATTTACGGAAACTACTACATCCCTGCAAGGTACCGAAACACGCCGGCGGCTTATGCCTGCGATGCTGCTGCGCGCGTGGCCGCCAACGCTGCCCTCGCGCGAGGGGATGACAAGCATCCGGACGAATGTTACGTAAGGAATGTTGGAGGGGGCTCCATACGAGGGAGACCCCGAACTAAGGACGCCCTAAGCTCTCCCTAGCCCTCCCTAAGATCTCCCTAGCCCTCCGTAAGATCCTCTGTTAATATGGGCCCTACTTTTTTTGAAAAAAATGGGTCAATGACTCAACCGGGCCTGCAGCACCAGCTATTGATAGAGAATACTTTCGGGTGTACAGTCTAAGGTATAATACCTTTTTAGGGAAGGCCTGGGGTTAAAGAGGCACTGGGGCTTGGGATTCAGGAACTAAATCAAGGAACTCTGGGCTTCGCCACACGGTTTAGGGTTGAGGGTTTAAGGACCATATCCCCTTCATAACCCCCAACATGGCCCTACTGTAAACCCTTTTTAGTGCGTTCCCTAACCCCTTAGTAACCGAAAGATCCCACAAGGTAGAGTTGCCACATGGTCAGACGGGATATTACGTTGCTTGTTCCGGATTAGTAGATGGGTAGAAACACGCAGCTTACTGAGGATTTATCTTGGCACAGAATTAGCTGTACCGGTTTTGGCTGGGGATTTACCGTGACCTTCTCCACTAGCGTAAGTAGTTGTCTAGTGTAAAGTATGATTGCATGGCCAGCTTTATTCGTCGGAAGTTGCGATAGCCAGGCCCATACAAATCGCAAGGGTTGCAGGCAATGTGTGTGCTCTCGCCTTATGTATTTCAGTCTAGGGGAGGGTCTCCAGTTGGGCTAGACCGTAGAAACAACTCTATTGGCAGAAAGTTGGTCGGACCTAGACCCTCCTCCTACCCTCTATTAGGGCCCAAGTACCCCCTATTAGGGACCATATATCCCCAATTAAGGGTACAAGGAAGGTTCTGGGATATATGGCACGTAGCCTACTTGCCACACTGAATTCTGAGTTGCAAGTCTGGGCCTCGGGCGCTTAGCGTTTAAGTGGGATTGTCGGTGCCCTGGAGGGTAATAAGTAATAGGATCTCCGGATGGAAGGCCCATACTAGGACAGAATATTTCGAAGCTTACATGCAAAGATGGGCGTTCTTTGGCTTTCCGTCTGGGTTCCTGACATTTGGATCATGAGCCACTATCCCAAGGCTAGACGTGCTGAAGTACCAGGCGCTAGAGTCTTTCTATGCAGGTAGCCTTGCAAACACGATGTTATTGTATCCACATGTCCTAAGGAACCAGTCTTGTGCTTCGGGAGCCCTCGATGTCCCTTAAAGCTTAGCGCATCAACTGGATGCGAGATGTGCAAATTGCACACTTCGACCCTGAAGTCCTTGGAATTTCGGCTCGTGAGCCCCAAACACCCACCTAAACCCTATACCTGGACCCCAAAAGTATGTAAAATAATTGCCTTTATGGTTATTATTAGGGGTTTAAGGCCATTATTTTACATACTTTTGGGGTTTAGGTAACCCTATTTTTCAAGGCTGGGGGGAGGTTAGAGCTCAAGTAGGTGCCCTTATCCCTGAGTAGCGCCGGGATACCAACAAAGTAGACCCCAAACCCTGAACCTGACATATCCCCTTACAAACTCCTTTTGAAGGGACCTAAGAGGCCTCCCATAGGCCGCCAAGGGTACCACAAACTGCCGAGGCATCATTGGCCTCCGGGCCCAAAGCGCTGGGCACTCTATTTGCCTTTCATGCACTCTGAGGACCTGCAGGCGAGCCTGCTGACTTTGAGGCGCTTTCAGTTTTAGGTGTTGCGGACGGTTGTTCGAGGAGTTGGGATTTTGGGCTTTGTTTTGTGGGAGTTGGGGCTTTGGGTTTCTCCACCTGTGCCTACTTCTGTGTTTACGGCAAGGCTTTGCAGTAGCGCACGCTTTTTGGTTGCGAAGGCTTACTGGGGCTTAGTCGTTATTCCCTCCTAAGAACCAGTAAGAAGGGGTAGAGCGGAAGTCGCCGGGATTCGCACCTTGGGTCTGGTCCTTGGGTGCTGGGCTGCACGGCGGCCTGGACGGATGAAACTGGAACGCCAACGAACTCCTGAGCTGAACTACTTCCCCCAGATCCCCGAACTGATAGGGGTATTTCTCAGGATAATCCTTATAGAATCTCTAATAAAGCCCCCATAATCTCTCTGTCATGCCTATATAGACCTACGGTCCAAGCTCCCGGCAGGAGGTAGGACAAAGACCTCAAGCCTGAAGGGACAACGAAGCAGCAAGAGCAGGGTTTGGGGGATTTAGGGTTGGGGTTTGGGGTTGAGGGTTTAGGGTGGGGGTTGGGCCTGTGCGATTGTGTAAGCAGGTTCCCAACAATAGTGTGACTTTGTCTCTCAGAGGACTGCAGGGCAGTTCATGGATCGCATGGGGTACATACTGGGTATTCACCAATGAGGTATCCAGTTGCTCCATTCAACGGCATACATTGCTCAAGTAGACAAAGACCCATCTCTGAAAGCCCCTGCCCGGACCACAGGACAAGGTCAAGTGTGTGAACCTCATGCGCGAGGGCATGGGCAAGTCCCTCTTTGGCAAAGGCGGCAACTCTCCCTCCGGGCGAGCAGGCGGAAAAGAAACCTGGGTCAGTGGAGGGTTTTAGGGGATGGAGGAGGGCATTTCCAGGAGTAATTGGGCAGCTGAGTTCTGAAACTGGTGTTTTGGGGGGTTGATGCGACGTAAGGTTTGAACCCAAATCCCTGAATGAGATTTGTCTTCGGGTTAAGGTGGTTTGCCGAAGGAACTTGTCACGATGGAGAGGCGCTGGGTCAAAAGAGACGCTGCCGAAGCTTCAGAACGCCAACTCCACCAATGGCAGCATGCTCACAGGCCCACATGAGCTATAGTCTTAACTCCTTAAAGGGGGTTATATAAGGGATTTTGTAGGGGACTACTTTGGGGCTTCTTCCGGGAGACACTAGGAGCTTAGACTTTTGTTCACATGAGCAGCGTTATTTTTAAGCATGTAAGGGATATGAT